TTAATTATTTACCGGCATTTCTCCATGAAATTATTTCATTTCCCGACAACATACTTCTGAAATAACAACCGCAGTGATTACATTTGCAATTAAATATATCCATTATAAATTACAGTGCTTTGTTGAATTCCTTCCAAAAGTAATTCATGGTATGGTGAATGAGGTAATTGTTGAGTAGTACTCTGCGTGTGATTATTTCGTGATTATCTTGATTTGAAGCTTTCGTGACTGCAGTAATCCATACTCTGGTTCTTTCGGTAAAGTCGCGTAGATAGAAAAATATCGCCACACACGCAATCGTCATCAGGTGGGACAACCACAGCAAGAAAAAAACTACTTTAGCAGTTGCGATCGAAACGTCGTGATCTATGATTTTTTTTTACCTACGTGACTTTACCGAAATAACCAAAGAGTAGAAATAGGTTTTTATCCTTTTAGCTGCCACAAAAACTGACACCTTTATACAAGGGATCATGTTTGCAATAACCTATTACTATATCTTGTTACTGGCAAAGGAGGTCTCATAATGTAAAGGCTCACCCCGAGCTCTCAATACTCTGATAGTGCGCTGTTTTTTAGTTGTACGCCTTATGGTGTCATCTGGTTCAACACCAGTGGAGACTAGGCTCTAAGAAAAGCCGTCTCGGGTGTGGACCAATCAAATTCAAGGACAGTGCCAATATCATTATCAGAGTTGTCTTTTTGTTTGTTTGCATTTTTGACTGCTTGTGTTGTGGTTATTGCAAACATGATCCCTTGTATAAAGGTGTCAGTTTTTGTGCCAGCTAAAAGGGTAAAAACCTATTGCTAAACCAAAGAGTATTTAGTGATTATTATGTAACTGTCAGCTGGTGTGTTCTTCGTGTGGGGTAGCGGTGGCGTAGCGGTTAGCGCGCTGCGCTACGAACCAGGCGAACCGAGTTTGATTCCCGATCACGGCCAACACCAGTGGCGGATATCTGAACCGGTCCTGGGCCTCCCTTAGGTCGACTCAGCCTCAAATGAGTACTGCCCCTGGTGCGGTGTGTAAACATCGCCACTGGGGAGACAAAGGCGGCCGGGCGTGGTGTTGGCCACCCACCCCCTCGTGTGCCGTGCCGGTGACACTCGCTAACAGCACTTGCCCCTACAGTCTGTGAACGGGCCATACATTGAGTAGGTACAGCAAAAAATCTGTCAAAACTTGACCCCATCCCCCCCTCTCCCTGTACGCACGCGGACTTTTTAACACGCCACCCCCCACTCCCCGAATCCTATAGAACGGCCGATATTTAATCCACGCAGAAACGATCAAGGATGAATAATTTTGACGTGTTTAAGCAAACAGATAGTCCACCGCCGGCTGCATGAAAGAATTAAGTTGCGTACCTTTAAAAAAAAGTGTATCTGGTGTCCTCTGGGTTGAAACGCCGACTGAACCCAGTCGAACAGCTGACGTGTTATAGGAATGAATGTCTTCGAGACGCGCAGTGTCAGGCTGAAGAAGCGCAGCAGCGATTGATGCAGTCTGCTGGGCCGCCGTCTTTGTCTGACAGCTGAAGAAACTAAACTGTGGCTCATCTGAAGGCCAATGTAGACGAATTATTATCGAGGCTTCACCTCCCTCCCCCCCCCCCCCCGTTTACTATGCGTACATTGTCAGCAGAGCCCCCATAAGCAAGCGAACACATTTGGGTTAACCCCCCCTTCCCCCTTCCATGCGTACCTACTAAATGGGTGGCCCCTAAGGCTACACGGGAGAAGATCTCTTTGTCTACGTGTTCCACATTGTGACGTGGCAACGATGACGTGGCTCTTGGCTTATGTTGAATGTTGTCTTGTGGTTGTTGTTGTTGTTTGACTTGCATCCCACAGGGATTTTTGCACACAGCGTTGGTGTACGGTGCTATTTCAGGAATATTTTGATATTTTTTTCCTGTATTTTCTGTTTGCACAGTCACATAGTCACTTTAAGATGTTTTCTTGTTCATGTTTTTTTGTTTGTTGCGGTTGCACCCGATTCAAGAGCCGAATGGCTCACAGGGCTATACCAAATAAATGAACTATGAACTATGAGTGCACGACGGTTGAATAACCTTTAAGCGATCTTTATGCGTACTGCAGGGGCAGCAAAGCACACAAATAAATTACAAAGCGATGGGGAAATTAAATCGCAACATTCGTCACATCGTGAAGTTTTATATCGCATTGTGATCAATTCTATCGCGGCCAACCTAGTAGGGACCTTGCAGATTTTCTACTTTGTACGTGTGTACGTTGAACTTCTTTCGTACCGTACGTAGCCAACCGTGCAAATCGGTAGGCTATGTGTGAGAGAAAGGGACACTTGGGGTAAACACATAATTAATTGCGTCAAGCATCACAGCTGCAAAAACTTAATGGGATTAGACTAAACGTTGCGTCTCAACCGACAGTACTCTATATAAACGTGTGCATGAGCAGACACTTTAAAAAAAAAGCTTATAAAGAGCTCTATACTTCACACGAGTAAATCGCAACGTTTTAGTTCTTCAATAAAACCACAGCCCTCTGAACCACCCGAGCATCGATAATTACTCGAAGCTTTAATTGTGTAGTAGTTTCCCGATCTCATGTAGCAAAGACGCAACGTCATTCCACGTGCAGGAGCCATCCCATTTGCATTGTTTATGGCCACATTTTGGTCCGAGTTTCAGGACGTGTCGTCGGAATTGTGAAGAGCATCTCAGCTTCCAAGAAACTCAACACATCCATCAATGACACTGCCTTAAAGAGGAAAAATACCGTGCGCAACAGGTGACGTTTCAGGCAATGGCCCTTTATCGCACGTGACATGCATGGCAAGAGTCTGCCTGTGGACTGATCAGCTGTGCTAATCTGTAATGTTTCTATTATCTCCATATATATAAAAGGCAAAGTTGTGAATGTGTGTCTGTTCAAAATGTTTAGCCTACTTCCCGACATGCAATAAACTGGAAATTTGCCATTTGGGCACTTTCCAGACTGTACACCATTCAAACATTATAAAAATAGACTTGTTTCTTTTTGGGGAGGGGGGGGGAGCTCAATAATGCATTTATTTTTTGCACGGCAAGTGAGCTGTGACGTCAAATCTGTCACGTGACCCGCGCACGTGGAAACGTAACGCATTGTAGTGTAGTGGTTAGCGCACTGTGTATGTGTCTGTGTGTGTGTGGGTGTCTGTGTGTGTCTGTGTGTGTGTGGGTGTCTGTGTGGGTGTCTGTGTGTGTGTCTGTGTGTGTGTCCGTGTGTGTGGAAGCGTAACGCATTGTAGTGTAGAGGTTAGCGCGCCGCGCTACGGACCCGACGACCCGAGTTCGATTCCCGCTCACGGCCACCACCGGTGACGATTATTTGAACCGGTCCTGGGCCTCCCCTAGGTCGACTCAGCCTCAAACGAGTAACTGGTCTGCCGTGTGAACATCGCCACTGGGGGGACAAAGGCGGCCGGGCGTGGTGCTGGCCACCCACCCCCTCGTGACTAACAAACACTGACCAATTTGTCCATGAGCCCAGACCAGATGTTTCACTTGGTTGGGTCGACATAGCTTTAGCGGCTTCAATATGATGTACTGTACTAATGCAATTTGTACCTACAGCTCGTACTTTATTTTTACATTTAGTGACTTGCTTAGCGTTCCTCTGCTCCCACGTTTTTGTATCGTTTATTGTTGAAAATTTCTGACCTTTGGACATCTGTGAAAAAGAGCTTCACAGCTCATCGGATTCTTCCCGTCTAAATAAAGATTCCGAATGAGAATGTATCGATGTGGCCAATAAGAGTGAATTAGGTGACGACCGTTTTGAGATGAGTGGGTTATAAAATTCATTCACTCGTATTGGCCGTATAAATAAATCGGTGCTGCTAACGTGTCACCTGAGGTGGTAGCGACATCTGCTCTGGCCTATGAACGAGATGTTATTGATCTCTCATTGATAGAGGCAGAAAAGCAGAGCATAGCAAAGAGCCGTAACCACTGCACCACCGCTAAGTCGCTACCGAGCGGTGGTGCAGATGCTTCCACTGAAAAACACCACATTGATTCGTAGCCACAGACAAGAACATTATAGGACTTCAAGGATAACTCTGTGTGAATTTTTTTTCTCTCTCGTAAAGTTGAAAGAGTGAAATGTAATTGTTTAAAAAAAAATTTAAATGTATAATCTCGCATGTTCTTCAGTATGCTGGTTGGGTGGCTCGAGATTTCCGCTCACAGCCAAGTCCTGTTTGTTTTAGGGGTTACATTAACATCTACATCATTAGACCTCCTTTGCCAGTACCAAAATATAATAATAGGGTTTTTCCCCTTTTTTCAGTTTTCTCGCCAGAAAAAAGGGGAAAACCCTATTATTATATTTTGGTACTGGCAAAGGAGGTCTAATGATGTAGATGCTTACCCCGAGCCCTCGTTACTTTGATAGTGCATTGTCTTTGAGATGTACGTTTTTTGTCGTCATCTGGTCGAGCACCAATTCAGACAAAGAAATCCGTCTCTGGTGTGGACCAATCAGTTTCAAGAACAATGCACATATTATCAGTGTGTTTTTTGTTGGCATTTTGACCGCAAGTACTGTGGTTAATGCACACATGATTCCTTGTGAAAAGGTTTCAGTTTTGTTGCCAAAAAAAGGGGGAAACCCCTATTATTATACATTAACATTTGTCTGCATAAATTGTACGTGACTGGGAGGACGTGGTGGCTCAGCTATCTGTGCACTGTGCTATGAATCTGGCGACGTGAGTTCAATTCCTACCCACAGCTCTAGCATCAGTAACATCTAAACGAAATCCTGGGCCATCCCGCGCGACGCAGCGTGGTGAAGTATGGTCAGACAATCCCTCAGATCGACTTGGCAGAGCGAAGCCTTAATCCAGCAGTGGATTTACAAAAAGCTGAACATTATTATAAATGTCATGAAATTAGTCATTCACATTTACGTTTCTAATTTAAAGAATAGACTGGAAATTGGTCTGTAATTGTGAGTCATTTTTATTATTGTTTTTTCTTATCAAATTCAGTTTTATTTTTTAATTCTCACCACACATCCCCGTTGTAATATGTTCATGGCGCATGGCGGTTATTTCCCAAGGCTGAGCAGTTTCTGGGTCTGTTGAACAACAAAACATTTAATGGGACAATTCCAATGCAATTACATTGCCCCAGGTACTATTCCAATGGAGTTGTATAGTCTGATTACAAAATGAACATCGCAATTTAAAATTTAAAACGCGAAATTACTGCAATTGTGGTATACAACCATGTAGAGTAAATGTATTTGGTATACATGCATCCTGCATACACTGCTGGGGTAAGTGATGTTGGCAATGACTTATGATGATGATGGGCACGGCACCACACCCAGTCCCAGTACTAGTTTTACACACCGCACCAAACACAGTACTTATTTAAGGCTGAGTCGACCTGGGGGAGGGGTGTAAGGGAGGACTTGCTCAGATATCACTCACCGCTGATGGTAGCCATGTCATGGAATCGAACTCTTAGTCCACCAGCTTCGTCAGTGCAGTACTGCCCATTCATTGTGCCACTGTTAGCGATTCACTCTGCGTGCGGTTGTGGTGAATGCCGAGGTCTCTAGTGACAACAAGGGGTCACGGAGAACCCATTACACATAAGGTGTAGTATGGTATACCAACTGAGAATAACGATTGGAATGCCCACAACTTGATGCACGTATTATCATCGTAAGCACAATCATTATAAATGATCAGTCGCCACGCGGGCCCAGTTGCGTGCACATCACGCACGTGTGCAATGTGTGTACATGTATGTCGCATGCATGGGTGTGTTAAGCAGTTGACTCAGCCTCAAATGAGTACCTGGTGTGATGTGTGAACATCGCCAATGGGGAGACAAAGGCGGTCGGGCTTGCCAACAGCACTTGCCCCAAACGTCTGCCCTGGTTAAGCAGTGCATACACGCGAATATGAACTTGCAGAATTGGTGTTGCAGCTTGCGGAATCTACGACGGAGACATTTCCGTAGGAACAGGCCAGATTGTGGGAAAGTAGAGCAGGCGGAAATTCTTTGCGGTATTTACCCAAACTTTGCGGAGCTGTGCCCTCTCTCTCTCTCGCTCTCTGCCAGTGGTGGAATGCCAGGGTTTCTCAGGCAGAAAAATCTACATTTTAATTGTGGGAATACTTTACAGCCTCCATAAACCCCGCTCAGGTTCTGCCCAAGCCCTTTCAACAGTGGAACTTTTCCCTGTATGGAATACGGTGGGGGGAATGTGCTTCACAATGTGTGTGTGTGTGTTTTAAAGGGTTTTTTTTTATTCAAGGTTGTTGAGCACAGCCCCAAATGCTCAAAAGTACGTACGTTGTGAAAGAAGTTCAACATACATACTGTACATACAAAACGCCACGTGGCGTTTTGTATGTACAGTATGTATGTTGAACTTTGTATGTACAGTATGTATGTTGAACTTTGTATGTACAGTATGTATGTTGAACTTTGTATGTACAGTATGTATGTTGAACTTTGTATGTACAGTATGTATGTTGAACTTTGTATGTACAGTAGGTATGTTGAACGTTGTATGTACAGTATGTATGTTGAACGTTGTATGTACAGTATGTATGTTGAACTTTGTATGTACAGTATGTATGTTGAACTTTGTATGTACAGTATGTATGTTGAACTTTGTATGTACAGTATGCATGTTGAACTTTGTATGTACAGTATGTATGTTGAACTTTGTATGTACAGTATGTATGTTGAACTTTGTATATACAGTATGTATGTTGAACTTTGTATGTACAGTAGGTATGTTGAACGTTGTATGTACAGTATGTATGTTGAACTTTGTATGTACAGTATGTATGTTGAACTTTGTATGTACAGTATGTATGTTGAACTTTGTATGTACAGTAGGTATGTTGAACGTTGTATGTACAGTATGTATGTTGACCTTTGTATGTACAGTATGTATGTTGAACTTTGTACGTACAGTATGTATGTTGAACTTTGTATGTACAGTATGTATGTATGTTGAACTTTGTATGTACAGTATGTATGTTGAACTTTGTATGTACAGTAGGTATGTTGAACGTTGTATGTACAGTATGTATGTTGAACTTTGTATGTACAGTATGTATGTTGAACTTTGTATGTACAGTATGTATGTTGAACTTTGTATGTACAGTGCGTATAGGCTTGTATGTACAGTATGTATGTTGAACTTTGTATGTACAGTATGTATAAACTTGTATGTACAGTATGCATAAACTTGGATGTACAGTATGCATAAACTTGTATGTGCAGTATTATAAACTTGAATGTACAGTGTGTATAAACTTGTATGTACAGTATGTATGTTGAACTTTGTATGTACAGTATGTATAGGCTTGTATGCACAGTATGTATAGACTTGTATGTACAGTATGTATAGACTTGTATGTACAGTATGTATAGCCTTGTATGTACAGTATGTATAAACTGGTATGTACAGTATGTATACACTTGTGTGTACAGTATTATAGACTTGTATGTGCAGTGTGTTTAAACTTGTATGTACAGTATGTATAAACTTGTATGTACAGTATGTATAAGCTTGTATGTACAGTATGTATAAACTTGCATGTACAGTATGTATAAGCTTGTATGTACAGTATGTATAAACTTGTATGTGCAGTATGTTTAAACTTGTATGTGCAGTGTGTTTAAACTTGTATATACAGTGTGTATAAACTTGTATGTACAGAGAATTCCAAAGCGGATAAGTGCGAGGGAAGAAGCAGAATTAAGAGGAATGTTGTCACCTGCAGTGATGGTGGTGGTTGTTGAACACAGTGTGGTGGTGGTGGTGGTGATGGTGGTGGTTGAACACAGTGTGGTGGTGGTGGTGGTGATGGTTGAACACAGTGTGGTGGTGATGGTGGTGGTTGTTGTGGTGGTTGAACACAGTGTGGTGGTGGTGGTGGTTGAACACAGTGTGGTGGTGGTGGTGATGGTGGTGGTTGAACACAGTGCGGTGGTGATGGTGGTGGTGATGGTGGTGGTTGAACACAGTGTGGTGGTGGTGGTTGAACACAGTGTGGTGGTGATGGTGGTGGTTGGACACAGTGTGGTGGTGGTGATGGTGGTGGTGGTTGAACACAGCGTGGTGGTGGTGGTGATGGTGGTGGTTGAACACAGTGTGGTGGTGGTGGTGATGGTGGTGGTTGAACACAGTGTGGTGGTGGTGGTGGTGATGGTTGAACACAGTGTGGTGGTGATGGTGGTGGTTGTTGTGGTGGTTGAACACAGTGTGGTGGTGGTGGTGGTTGAACACAGTGTGGTGGTGGTGGTGATGGTGGTGGTTGAACACAGTGCGGTGGTGATGGTGGTGGTGATGGTGGTGGTTGGACACAGTGTGGTGGTGGTGATGGTGGTGGTGGTTGAACACAGTGTGGTGGTGGTGGTGGTGGTTGAACACAGTGTGGTGGTGGTTGCACACAGTGTGGTGGTGGTGGTGATGGTGGTGGTTGAACACAGTGTGGTGGTGGTGGTGATGGTGGTGGTTGAACACAGTGTGGTGGTGGTGGTGGTGGTTGAACACAGTGCGGTGGTGGTGGTGATGGTGGTGGTTGAACACAGTGTGGTGGTGGTGGTGATGGTGGTGGTTGGACACAGTGTGGTGGTGGTGATGGTGGTGGTGGTTGAACACAGTGTGGTGGTGGTGGTGATGGTGGTGGTTGAACACAGTGTGGTGGTGGTGGTGGTGGTTGAACACAGTGTGGTGGTGGTGGTGGTGGTTGAACACAGTGTGGTGGTGGTTGCACACAGTGTGGTGGTGGTGGTGATGGTGGTGGTTGAACACAGTGTGGTGATGGTGGTGGTTGAACACAGTGTGGTGGTGGTGGTGATGGTGGTGGTTGAACACAGTGTGGTGGTGGTGGTGGTGGTTGAACACAGTGTGGTGGTGGTGGTGATGGTGGTGGTTGAACACAGTGTGGTGGTGGTGGTGGTGGTTGAACACAGTGTGGTGGTGATGGTGGTGGTTGAACACAGTGTGGTGGTGGTGGTGATGGTGGTGGTTGAACACAGTGTGGTGGTGATGGTGGTGGTTGAACACAGTGTGGTGGTGGTGGTGGTGATGGTGGTGGTTGAACACAGTGTGGTGGTGGTGATGGTGGTGGTTGAACACAGTGTGGTGGTGATGGTGGTGGTTGAACACAGTGTGGTGGTGGTTGAACACAGTGTGATGGTGGTGGTGATGGTGGTGGTTGAACACAGTGTGGTGGTGATGGTGGTGGTTGAACACAGTGTGGTGGTGGTTGCACACAGTGTGGTGGTGGTGGTGATGGTGGTGGTTGAACACAGAGTGGTGGTGGTGGTGATGGTGGTGGTGGAACACAGTGTGGTGGTGGTGGTGGTGGTTGAACACAGTGTGGTGGTGGTGGTGGTGGTTGAACACAGTGTGGTGGTGGTGGTTGAACACAGTGTGGTGGTGGTTGCACACAGTGTGGTGGTGGTTGCACACAGTGTGGTGGTGGTGGTGATGGTGGTGGTGGTTGTGATGGTGGTGGTTGTGGTGGTGGTGGTTGTGATGGTGGTGGTGGTTGTGATGGTGGTGGTTGTGGTGGTGGTGGTTGTGATGGTGGTGGTGGTGGTTGTGATGGTGGTTGTTGAACATTGCGGTGGTGGTTGTGGTGGTGATGGTTGAACACAGTGCCGTTGAGATGAAACAATCTGGTCGATCGAGTCCTCAACATCCGAGGAACAATCAATCGACGGAAAAAGTAAATATGGCAGGAGTGATAGCAGAGTGATTAGAAGTGACTGAAGTGACTCTCTAGATTATTAATCGCCGTGACTGTGTACGTTTAATTATATCGAGTGCAGAGAGGAGTGATCTAGCCCAGATGTGACAGCAGGCTTCCAACGAGTGTGTGTCGAATAGCAGGACGTGTTTCAGCCAATATTATTCACAGACACGGCTATCATAATGAAAATATGATATGGCCCTATACATAATTCACATCGGTGTTAAATGTTACTGAAAGTATAGTCTTCATAATTTGAATATCCGGATAAAAAAAAACACTCTTATACCCTATACTGTATATTAAACGTGATTTGTTTTTTGTCAAGGGAGGGCCAATTACATAATTACATTACATAGTTACATATCTCTCAAGGGAGATATGAGTTTATTTTTGGTATGTGGAATATGTATGTGGCATATGACACCAAACTGAAATTAAATTACGGAAAAAAATATCACTGGCGGCCAGCTGATAAGACTTTCGATTCCCCAACCACGAGGCATTTACCAAACAATCGTCTTTAAAAGGGCCGCCGCGTCCCATCACTGCCCGTGCTGAATTTCATGCACTTGGGTTTTGCAAATTGCAGGCATCAGGATCGTCACGGGCAGTGCAAGCGGATGGCAGAGGAGAGATCAGGGCGCCTCTTGCCTTACCACCTGGCATGCAGTGATGGCATGCCTGGTGCGCTCTCTCCGTCAGAGATCTGAACAAGAAGAAGAAGAAACAAACTCAACTAAGGTCACCACCCAGAACAGACCGAGGAACATAACGGCTCGGTGCCCCGTTCACACACACGAGGGAGGAGGCAT